CTGCTCCAGCCGGAGCTTCAAGTCTAGTTCCACCCAGCGGTCGAGGATGCGGTGCAGGGCTCGCAGTGCCCCCAGGTGCTGCTCTCGGTACTCCTGTAGTGTTTGGCTGGTCCTCCTGTGGAGCCCTCGTGTGCGGGAGCATGTCCCAGGTGGGGTGGTGTGCCCTGCACGTGCAGCTGGTGCGACTGTGGAAAAAGAAGAAAAGTGGTCAGTTCTCCCTGAGGACACAGTGGGTGAAGCCCAGACCCATCTGCAAGATGACGATGACCATGCCCTGCACCATCAGAGCCGATGTGCTTGCACAGAGGCCATGTTTGGAATGTCCGGCTATCCCTGAGAGTGGGAGCTGCCCCAAGACCGCACCCATGCTCCTGTGCTGTGTATAGTGTGGCCGAGGTGGGGGGGAGATGTCCCATGCCTCTGTGTAGAGGGGACTTGTGAAGGGAGGCCGTCCTGCTGTGTCCCGCCCCGGGTTCAGGAGCATGTCAGGTCTCTTCACACACACGTGTGGCTATCAGGCCACGGACCCTGTGTGGCACACAGCGGAAGCCACCTGCTCGGGTGGCACAGCATGTGGTCGCACATGCACAGGTTACTGCATGATCCGTGGTAAGCAAGGCCCACGCACGCGGTCCCTGGTCTCCCTCCCCATCCCCCCCGGGAAGGGGACAGTGATGGCACTTACATGGTGTGGCCTCCCCGGGCGACCCTGGTGACTCCACTGCTGGGACAGCTTGGAGGTCCGTAGCACCCTTCATGGCAGCTCCTCCTCCATGCCCTGGTCAGAGCCCTCCGGACCCGAATCGCTGTCCCTTGGGGAGGCACAGACCATCCCGCCCCCCAGGATGTGGTCCAGGGCCTCAAAATAAGGGTAGGTATGTGCCCCTGTTGAGGAGCTGCCTCATGTGGCCCTGGCATATCCCTGCTGCAATTCTTTAATTTTCATGCGCACCTGATCTTGGGTGTGTATGTGGCCTTTTGTGGCTATGGTGGCAGCTATGCGGCTGTAGACGGCCACGTTCCTCCATCTAGTGCAGAGATCATGGACATTGGAGGCCTCCCCCCAAACCTCCGGCCCCTGCCTGGCTCTTGGGAGCTGGGGGACTGGGTGGTGGAGGGCTGGCTGGATCTGGCTGCCTGGCTCATATTGGGGTCACTGTGTCAGGGTCAGTGACTGCTGGCTCTGTGCTGGCAGACCTGTAGCTGGCACATGCATTGTAGCCAGAGTCTATCCCTTTAAGGGCTCCGGGGCTGGCGGAGAGGAGAAGATTTTTCCTGGTTTGGCCCAGAGTGACCACCAGGGCTCCCTGGGAAGGGCTGGAGGCCCCATATTTTGAAATAAGCGTCTACACAGAGCTTATTTTGCATTAGCTGTTTCGAATTTGGCATTATTCCTTGTAGAATGAGGTTTAATTAATTCGAATTAAGCGTCCCGCTATTTCAAATTTATTTTGAAATAGCGGTTTTCTTGTGTAGATGCTATTAAAGTTAATTTGAAATAACGACTGTTATTTCGAATTAACTTGGATGTGTAGGCATACCCTTAAGACAAATTAGAATCCACCCCAAGACAGTCACAGACAAAAAGGGATTACTCTAATAGGGCTGTTTGTGGGCAATATGAATGAGTTAGTGGTCTAAGTCCAACTCCTCTCCATGCCAATCAACAGCTTTGTTGGCAGTCTCAGGAGAGAGGCTAGTGTTTGATTATTATGGAACATGACTTACCCTTTCACCTCAAGAGTTCATCTGGATTCCAGCACCTTGGCAAAGCCATGAAAATAAGTGTGCTTTGCTGCTCCCTATTTTGTATCTTCTTTGGAAATAAAGAGAGGGTGTCCTTCTGAAGAGATGTCAGTACAGTAGAACCTCAGAGTTACAAATACTCGAGTTACAAACCAGTCAACCACATGCCTGATTATGAACAGGAGGTACACAATCAGGCAGCAGTGGAGACAAAAAAGGCAAATACAGTCATAGCACGTTGTTAAATATAAACTACTAAAAAAAAGGAAAAAATAGCATTTTTCTTGGGCGTAGTAAAGTTTCAAAGCTGAATTTTGAAAGAACGTTTTGTTCGGAGTTACAAAACATATCCATTCCTGAGGTGTTCGTACCTCTGAGGATTTAAATGTTTGTCAGTTTCCAAAAGCATTTAATTCACCACAAAAGAAAAAAAATGTTATTTCTTTCCATGCAAGCAAGAAGAATGTGGTGGGACTGTCACCTAATGTGCTGAGTCTCACTGAACCTGCTTCCTCTGACAACCTGGGCATGCTGTAACCGTATCTTGCTGAGCTTGGTTCACGAGCCTGCTTCAACACAGGGACAGGGCCACACCCCACAGACTTCAAACACATACTGAAAGTAGCTCAGTGTGAGATCTTTTCCAGCACTTAAGTATACATCCTCTGGGATTTAAACCCTAGAATCATCTGTTTTATGCTGTAGAGAGATGTATACAGTGAAAGCTCATGAAATTTACCCTCTTTCTCAGTGTAAAAAGAGATATGCAGAGGCTTGTTGCTCCCCCAGCTAGCAATTACTTACACGGGCTTTATTACTAAAAAGAATAACTTTTTTATACCCTTGGGGGAGGTGTGAACAGAGGACAAAAACACTATATGTGATGCTTTTGCCTGGCTAGATGGGGTTGTTAGTATAATGAGAATAGATAAGAATACTTAAAGCATTACAGGATATAGTGGGAGTATAATATATGACTGTCAACTGGAAGGCTGCCTGGCTTTTCTCTCAAGCCAAGGTCAAGCAACTAGTTAGGAGCGGCAAAGGGGGGGGCGGCATAAGGGGAGACAGAACACACAAAGAAAGCAAAGAGCAAAACCTCACTCATTGTCCTTCCCGTGGAACACAACAGGGGTGGGATGAAGACCCCAGACTCACAGCCCTCCAAAACAGATCATGACCATAAGCTGTAAGAGGTGTGATTGGGGGTGTGCATTGCAGGTATATTTATGTCTGCTAAGGAGGAGGAGCTGGGGAATGGGGACACAGGCAAGACTCTGCGGCTTCAGAGCTGGGAATAGAACACTGGAAAACAGACTCTCAAATGAGGTTTATCAGGACATCAGAATAACAAGCCCATTACTTCAATTGCATTTTGAATTTATGGGCGTGCTGTTAAGACACAGAAAATTTTATTTCAGAGTAACCCAAAATAGCACTGCTGTCTAAACGTACCCAAAGACAGCCAAGTTGCTTTTTAAGCTTGTGGTCAGGGGCAGATGACAGTTTTGCGGGGCCCTGGGCAGCGTAATTCTGCGGGGCCCCCCCTTTGCCACGGCGCATGCGCGGGGCTTTTTGAAGTGCGGGTCCCAGGGCGGCCGCTCCGTTCGCCCTGCCCTATATCCGCTCCTGCTTGTGGTGTACTACTGTTGGGGCAGTCTTCAATGGAAACTCTGTGCCCCTTCCCCAAACCAGGTAGTGAAAAGAGAACTTGTGACTACTTTGCAATGAAGGTATCCTATCCAAACATAAATTCTTACTTAGTTTCAGAATATTCCTTAACTGTTTTCATTTACAATTAAACCCTCTGAGTCCAAATATAATTTTGTTGTGAAAAAAAATTCACAATTCAACACACGCACTCCTTGGCTATCAGGGATTTATAGCTAAAAGCAAACCCTGCTTTTTAAGAATAAATAAAAAGATCCTGTCATAGTGCTCTTTTTTAGGCCTTCTCTGTACCTTGTTAGAGGTTTCAGTGCCTTGTTGCACCCCTGCTTAAGGAAAGCTCGCTCAAGCCAGTCTGCCAGCAAGACTTGTTCTTCCAGAGTCCTGGAAGGACCTGGAGGAAACACTTATTAATACAGTAGTTGCCTTAAGACCTGGCGATTCTAGGGCAGTGGTGATGGGCCCTTTAAATTTCTGCCAGAGTGCTGTGCTGCACACTCTGGCTACGTCTACACTGTAGCCTTCTTGCGGAAAAGCTTATGCAAATGAAGCTCAAAAAATGAGGAAGAATGGCTCTTGTGCTAGAGGGGTTTTTTTGCACAAAAAGGAACCATCTACACTGCTCTTTTATGCACAAAAGCCTCTTTTGCAAGAATGGCTGCTCATTAATTATGCCAATGAAGTGTGGCGATATTCCATGCTGAGCTTCATTTGCATAAACTATTCCGCAAGCAGGCTACAGTGTAGACGTAGCCTCTGTGCAGCTCTGAAAGCTGTGGAGGGCGGGGGAGTGCAGCACGCTCCAGGCAGTGCAGAGGGCTGTCTGCCCCTTCTGCCTGAGGCCTCATCCTTTGTGTAGCTGGCCCCTCACCTTGCCCGGGGGCTTGCAGAGGCTGTCAGCCTCCCTTGGTGTATTGTTAAATGTGTAACATTGATGTATTCATGACACCAGCTGGTACAGCAAGTATATAGTACTAGGGAAACATCTGATCTAACATTTTTTTCCTTAGGGGAAATTTACCCCGTGCACTTGGGACTTAAGGAGTATATATAGGTCATGTAATGGTCCTCTACATGGTGGGTAAATTTTACCAGCAAAGTTGTGACAGGCTCTGGTCCTCAGTGCTACACACGTAAAAATTACTGAAATCAGGAAGAGTTTTGCCTGAGTATGAGCTGTTTAAAGGCCCACAGTGGGTGGGGAGTGTCACATATTTTGTATTGAGGTACGTTTAATGGCAGAAGCCATCTCTTGTATTCATTGGCATGCTTCTTGAATTCTCAGTCTCAGAGAATTTTTTTCTCAAAAACTTGCAAAGGCATGTCCCCCTTTCTGAAGTATTGGTATAAGAACACAAAATATTTTTCTTACGTTTCTGTCATTCTTTTCTCCTCATTCCTAAAACTTCATTCCATATTTGTGTATTTAAACCTTTGCATATCTCACTGCATCCCTTTTATACCAGCATGCATTTTCAGATCATCCCTAGCTGCATTTTAATCTCCCAAAAATGGCACTTGCAAGCTACACAAGCATTAAATTATTTAATATTCTAGACCACTCACTTTTCCTGATATTTTTTCAGGAACATGGCATTCCAACTGACATGGGCTATGCAGTAGCTCCCCACCACTCCGGGGTTTACCCTGTACATGTTCAACTTTATGAGGCCTGGAAAAAGGTTTGGAATATCAAAATCACCAGCACAGAAGAGTATCCACATCTAAAACCTGCACGATACAGACGGGGCTTCATCCACAAAAATATCATGGTGAGCTGCTTTTGTGATTTTTATATTCAATCTTACTGCTTCAGTTTTTCATGACTAATTTAAAAAATAAAACAAAAAGTGTAAAAGCATCTCATCCTAAAAGTTCAAATTGTGAGAAGCACATAAGTCATAAATTATAGTTGACCTTAACCTGCTAATTAAAATCAGCATGTCTAAGCCTCTTGCTGACATTCACCATACTGCTGATGAAAGTAGCATAACTTCTGACCTTGGGGCCTCTCTGTTACAGCTTTTGATACTGCTTTAAAAATCTGAAGGAAAATGTCAGTATAACAAAGTAATTTACAGCCATCTTGAAAATCTCACCAGTAATACTTTGTTGAGTGCTATTGGTGAGAGTATCAGCTAGTTGTAAATTGTCATAGCTTCATTGGCTATAAAGGAGCTATGCCAACATATACCCGTTGAGAATCTGGCATTTCATCTTTAAACAATAAAGTGCTACTTCAGTTGTATGAAATGTCCCTCATCTTACAGTCTCTTCCCACACATTCTCCCATTGTGCTTCTTACTATGGCTTAAACCAGGAGCTAATATCTTGGCCCAAGTGGTAGCAAGGCTTTGATGCTAGGCAGATGCCCAGAGAGCTTGAGGGAAGAAAGCATCCCCTCAGGGTGTGGAATCGTTCCATGGAGTCAACTCTAGTCCAAATCACCTAATTCTCCCGTAGGAACTAGGAGTGCTGGGGGTGCCACACTATTCCCTGGCTTGAAGCAGTTTCCATTATATCCAAGGATTACAGTTTGGTTCAATGGCTCACAGCACCCACATTACACAGATTTTTCCAGCACCCCTGAATTCTCCCACTGTGCTCCCTGTAATTCATATTGACACTGACTGCACTGCTTCCTGAGAGTAGCTTGTAATTACTGATACTCCATATATGGCATTTAGGTCATGTCTACACTAGGGAATAATTTTGAAATAAATACAATCAAAATAACTCCTAAGAGAACAAAATCAAAATAGCGTAGCCTCACTACAGGGGAGCATCGAAATTAGTCAGAATTGTTTCAAACTAGCGTGTCCACACTCATTAAAGCCTGCCTCGGCCTTAGAGCACCGTAAGCATTCCAAGGAGGGCACCAGGAGTGCAGACACTTCCTGTGGTTGCTTGGTCATGCATGACGCGTGCTTTCAGGGTCTCCTCTCTACAGCCTTGTCTCACACACCACTCCTCCACTGCCTCCCTCTCGCGGGACGCAAAATGGATGCAATATGTTCTGGTTGCCCTTGCATATGTCACAGCACTCACAACATGGAACCATAGCTGCTGCAAAGCAGTGCCAGGCTCACAGGTCTCGTCCTGTGCCTCATGGAGCAGTTTGTCCAGACTATCCACATGTTGCTCCAGCAGGATGAGGGTCTCTGTTCTGGGCTGGTCATCGCCCAGGTCCTGGTGCTTCTGTTGCTGCAAATGCCCCTCATTCCCCTGGACACCAAGGAACGCTGTTTCTGTTGAGAGGAGACCAGTTCAGACTGGTGGGACCAGATCATCCTGCAGCGATGGGACCACCAGCAGTGGTTCCAGAATTTCTGCATGTGGAAGGCCACCTTCCTAGAGCTCTGTGAGTGGCTCACCCCTGCTCTCAGGTGACAGGACACCCAACTGAGACCCACCATCCCGGTGCAGAAGTGCACCATCATTGCCCTGCCCAACTGAGACCCACCATCCCGGTGCAGAAGTGCACCGTCATTGCCCTGTGGAAGCTCACCATGCTGGACAGCTACTGCTCCATCAGGAACCAGTTCGGCATGAGGAAATCCACAATTGGGGCTGTGCTCCTGCAAGTAGCCAAGGCCATCAACCACATGCTGCTAGGTAGGGTTGTCACTCTGGGGAATATGGACAGCCTTGTTAATGGCTTTGTTGCCATAGGCTTCCCCAATTGCAGGGGGAGGCATAGACGGCACTCACATCCCCATCCTGGTCCCCAACCACTGTACCTCGGATTATATCAACAGGGTATTTCTCCATGGCGCTGCAGGCCCTCATGGATCACCAGGGATGCTTCACTGATATCAACGTTGGCTGGTCAGAGAAGGCACATGATGCCCACATCTTCCAGAACTCATGCCGGTTCTGAAAGATGCCCAGTGGCACTTTTTTCCCCAGCCACACCATCAAAGTCAGGGAGGTGGGCATACCCATCTGCATCCTGGGTGACAGCCTACTCTTTGCTCCCCTAGCTCATGAAGTCCTATATGGGAAGCCTAGACCTCACCAAGGAGCACTTCAACACTAGGCTGAGCAGGTGCCTCTTAGTTGTGGAGTGTCTGTTCGGCTGTTTAAAGGGGAGGTTCTGGAGTCTCCTCAACCATCTGGACCTCAGCAAGTGCAACATCCCCATTGTGGTGGTGGCCTCCTGTGTGCTCCTCAACCTGGAGCAAGGGGGAAACTTTCTTGCCAGGGTGGGGGGCAGAAGCTGAAAGGCTGGCCAGGGCATAAGAGCATCCAGACACCAGCACCATTCAGCGAGCACATCAAGGGGCTGTGCTCATCAGGGAGGCCTTGAGGGACAGTTTCGTGCAAGGCCGGCTGTAAGACTCTCCCCTGTGCCTCTCCACAAGGGGCCCCTGCATTCCATCTGTGTGCCTTTCCTCCCCCTCCTCTCCCTTCCCTTGTCCTCCCTTCTGACCTTTCCCCTCCCCTGCAGAGCAAATAAAAAAGCTTTTTTTGTGGAAAAAGGTGACTGTTTATTTGGAGGATATGCAACAGGGGAAGGCCTAAGAAAGAACCTGGAATGGGGGAGGAGAGCACCTCAACAATGGAGCTGGGGCTGGGACTGGCACCTGCCTTCGGTAGCTTGGGAGGCTTTGGCTGCCTGAGAAGGCACACTGCCCTAGGTTGTGGGGTCCCAGTGGCCCTGGGAGAGCTAGGAGGGGAATCAGTTGTCAGAGGCCTCTGGAGGCCAATTCTTTCAAAATAGCAGCACCGGAGCATCCACATTAATGCTATTTCAAAATAATCATTATTCCCCGAGGAAAGCAGAGTACAGATTTCGAAATAACCAGCCCATTATTTCAAAATAACAGGCTTAGTAGTGTGGGTGCTCTTCCTGTTATTTTTAAATAAGGGGGGTTATTTTGAAATAAATTCCAAGTGTAGACCAGGGTTTAGGCAATGATTACTAAGGCATGGGTATTTCCTCGCTGTTCAGTGTTTGCAAAGCCCCGAACATTATTGTCAGTGAAATGTTCTAAACTTCTGGGTAATTTTTGTGTTTTTCCATGTGCGTGTAAGTGAGAGAGATCACTAATGTTTGCACTACATCATGCTTGAGGCTATCTTGAGTGCTTTTATAGGAGTATGCCCAGTGCTTTAGCTCCAGTTAATACTTTTGGTTAGCTTATATAGCAATTTTGGTATTATCCTGAAGAGTTACCACGAATAGCAGTATTCTGACAAATACTCCAAAATGTAATGTGTGAATTTAGGTTTTTGAGAAACCAGTTAAAATGATCTGTAGTTACTAAAAGTTTTAAAAAAATAAAATCACCATACATGTTCAGGTAAAACTTAGTCTCAGGAAAAGATTAGCCGTAGTAAAATAATATGTTTCTAGATATTCTTGGGGGCATAAAGCATTTGAATAGGGCTGATTGATTCTGAGAACTCTCCAAATAACTCTGTTCATAAATTTTGGTTAAAACGTATCATTTTGAAGGCACATATTGAATAAGATCTAACCGAAGCTTTGAGAAATGAGCCAGTAGGGCCAAAAATCAATTTGCCAAGAACAATCATTATAAGATCACCTGTCTCAGAAGTCTCTGGCTTTCTGTTCTTCAGAGCGAGTGCTTTAATTTACTGTATCTGCAGGTTGCTGATGATAAACACATACTCAAAATAAAGATCTGATATAAGATTTACCAGAAGCATTTCCCCACTTGCTTAACATATCTCCATGTATTTGTACCATTTGCACTAGTATTTCATCAGGGAAACCAGAAGAATTTAAATAGCATTTGTAGGATTATAATACATAAATGAATTCCATATATTTCATAATTATTTAGGCTTTATGATATATGGTCATTGTAGAATATAAAATTCTATAAAATGCTGAAAAAGATTTATTTCTTCAAGATAAGGAATTTGCATAGCAGGTGTCAGACTTGAGGCTTGAAAAAGTGAGCCCTGTTGTTCAGCAGACACTGAATTTGTCAAACTATTATTTGATAAGCACTGTGATTTGAAATTTAAGTCCATATTTTTAAAGGTAATTAAAAATCTGGTTCTTAGCTGTGTTCAGCCTTAAGATGTAAGTTTTCTGTATAAACATACATGTATGATTGGACCCCATCCATTTTTCAAGTTAGGTAAACAAGGAACAATGATTCTGTGGTAAAAAGTAAATGCATGAAATAGCATAATCTTGCTCAATGGAGCTGTTCCTGATGTGTTTATAGAACAGTTTCTTAAACTGTGTTCCATGGCACACCAGTGTGTTACGAGGCAGTCAGAGGTGTACTGCGGAGAACAACGGAATTAAAAATGGCTGCCCTTTCCCTCAACCTTTTTTTTTTTGCTCGGCAAAAAGGTCCTTGGTGTTCCTCAGTCTTAAAAGGTTTAAGAAAGACTGGTTTAGAATCATACATGCTTATTATAGTAATTAAAAATAAGTTTATACTGCTCTTTAGTCCATGAGTCTTGCAGAGCTAGTACAGCTAGGAGAGAGAGAGCTGGATTCTATTTCAACTTATGTATCATCAACAAAAAATAACTACATATGAATAAGATGTCAATGATGCATGAGCAAGAAAGAACCAATTTCACTTTCAACTTCTGCACTGAGTTTGTAGGACTGGCAAAAAGAAAGCCTACTTTTAAGTAGAAACTGAACAGATTTGAATAACAATCAGTAAATACAAAACATACCAACCTGATTTTATAAAACCATTTTTCAGATTATGACCTTACTTTTTGAACTAAAAGGTTTTGGTGACTACCCTTAAAATATAAGTTAGATTAGATATCCAGTACACACAAAAGAGTTTTTTGGAGATTCTGAATTACATCTGGCTTTTTGGACAGCAGTCACTCAGTTTCAAATAAAAACTCATGAATTTATGGGAAAAATGACTTATGGTTTCACTATAACAGTCAATTTTTTTCTTTGTTTATTCAAAAATGCGTAACTGACCAATATATCAGAATGTTAGCTTACTCAGATCTTGGATGAATTGTCAATCTAACGAATGACTTGAGCTCAAGGTCAATGCTGAATATACATAACATGATGGAAAGTAAACGGTACAATTACAAAAGTTCATTTGTATTTAATGTATTAGTTTACAAAAGGAATGAAAGTCATTTTGTTTTGAAATATTTTTCTTTATTATCCTGTTTTTGCACAGGTCCTTCCTAGGCAAACCTGTGGTCTATTCACTCACACAATTTTCTATAAGGAGTATCCTGGGGGTCCAAAAGAACTAGACAAGAGTATCCAGGGAGGGGAGTTGTTTTTCACAGTTGTTCTCAATCCAGTAAGTACTACAACCTGCTTTTGAAAAGATTGACAAAAATTATTAAAATGCAATTTCCTGATCAACTAAGTCTCTCAAGGGATATGGTGGCTAAACCTAAGTCTCTGGTTTTGTTTTATTTTGTTTTGCTTTTCTTTGATTTTTTTTAGATTCAGCAATAATTAGGATTTAGTTTAAAAAAGTATAAAATATTGTGAATTCTTATTGCTAAAGCTGCAACAGATTCCTTGGGTGAAGTCCATAAGAATAAAAATTTGAGATTTCCAAGTTATAAATGTTAGAAGCATTTACTGGATTTGGGAAAGGCACAAATAAGTGACTTTTCTATGCTTTTGGAGAATTGCTTATTTACGGGTTTGTAGGCACAGTTCACTGTACTTCATAGTAAAGTTCTAGTGAAATGGACCACACAATTAATCTGTTTAGTGTGTTTGCTCTTTTATTTATCCCTGGTGGAGAAAAAAAATTGAACAGCCAAACTATTAAACTGCAGAATGTTAAAGGTTAGGGATGTAAGATCTTGGTTGCTGATCAGTTTAACCAATTAACCGATTAACTGGGATGCCACTGCTGATCCCCCACTGCTGGTGGGGACAACTCTGCGCAGGGGTGTGGCTCCTGCTCCCAGCTCCCCTTACCCATATGGGGATGCCTTTGGGTATCGGTTAACTGGTAGCCAGTAAGCATCACCCGTTACCTGTTCACATCCCTATTAAAATGCAGTTGGTTTGGATTAGGTCAGATTTATCAAGAATTGAAATGAGACTCGTAGGTAAGTCTTGGCCTCAAGGTCAAAAATCAAGATGGACTTGAAAGGGAAAATATTGATAAAAGCTAGGTTGCATTTGCAATGTACAATAACATTTGGTATGATGTGTTTACAGTGACACTTAAATACTAAGGCTGAGACTTTCATAGATGCTCAGAGGGGTGGGGCATTTATTTCCTTTTAGATCCTTTCACTAGCTCAGCATAAATATTACTGTGCTCTCATTCAGTACACAAAACATAAGTGGGAGTTCAGAGAAAAGAATCTGTCTTTAAGTAAATTTAGGGAATTTGACTCAACATTGGCAAGCAGTTCTTTTTCAAGAGTTCAGTTCTTTTACACTTCAGTTTTAATTGTTCAGGGATTTGGGTTTTTTGTGGTTTTTGTAATGCTTAGAGGTTACTCAGTGAATGTAAGAAAGGAAAAACACATCGTCCACAAAGCTGCAGTCTCTCTAGTGTGGGTGTCTGCAGAAGTCACTCTTATCTTCAGATGAGCCAGTGTCATTAGGTCAAATAGCAAATTGCCCCTTTTCAGCTCACATAGGGTATGTCTACACTTGCACCCTCTTTCGAGAGAGGAATAACCTTTATACCTCCTACAACGAGGTTTACCAGTTATTGTGGAAGAAGAGTTTTCTTTCAAAATAACCGTGTCTAGACAGCATTTTTTTTTCAAAATATTGCTATTTTGAAATAGCACCATAATGCGAATATGCAAATGAAGCACAGGAAATTCAAATCCGCACTTCATTTGCAATTTCGCTCAGCTGCATTTGCATCCCTTTCTTGAAAGAGGGTGCAAGTGTAGACATACCCATATATTAATAGGGTGAGATTGGAACAGCACTTTTGGTGGGACATGTCAGTCTAACTCTGGATGTTTCAGGAAGTTACTGCAGCTCTTTTTCTAATATGGCTGCTTTGTCAGGATATGGAACAAAGCTCCTCAAGTGTAGTGAGCTTACTCAACAAATGGGACTGGAAGAAAAATATATAACACCCAAAAACTGGAGTCAGGTGGTATGCTACACTCCAGGATTAGAAAGATACGTGGATACCAGTTAGCTGACGGGACCTCTTCTGATCCTGACAGCAGTGCTATAGGAAAGCTTAACATAGAGCTAGTTACATGAATCATAAACCCAGCCAAAAACAAAAGAGGTGCCGGAGGAGCGATTGTTACATCTTGGCTTGGGAGAGTGACATGGCCAAGTCTGAAGCAGCATTTTCTGTTGGGCATAAGAGGAATGGAGCATTAATCTTCCATACTGTGAGATATTTTCCTGTGACCATCCTGATTTTTACAAGGCATTACATTTCTTTACAGTGGTGCCATCTTGTTCTTTTTGGCATAGGAATGCATGTACTAGAACACAAATTTAAATATATATTGGTTTGGGGAAAAATTCATGGATTATTTTGTTTGTCTTTCAAACTCTTCGGTTTGGCAGTCTTAACATTAGCCAATTAGGAAAAAGTTATTTGACATGGCCAGTTTTTCTGTTTTTCTACGTCTTTCCCTTCCAGCCAGTCAGTGGGCTGATGCAGTCAGCACTCACCTACTAGAAAATCTGCAGTTGGTATCCACTCTACTTCCACTATCTATTATTTAAAATCCTTCATTGCTCCCATCTAAGTAAGCATGCAGCTGCATGTGCACAGATGGGGGGGTATTTGATTTAAAAAGCAAAATCTGGCTTTTATATACATTACTTGACATCTTGCCTAGCACTAATGCTCTGAAATGTTGTGTAGGAGACCTTTTAGTTCTAATCCTGCCAGCTCATTCCCTGTGATTTAAATTAATACAGCAACACCATGCCAGCCTGTGCTGTATATTTATCAGATCTCTTAAACAGAGCAAGGTTGATACTGTGGTGTGTTTGGATGTGACAGACCACAAAATGTGTTTCTTTTCTGTACTAGCTGTTATTCAGTTGTGAATAGACTCTTTTTCTGATGTTCTGGCTACATTCTCTCCTGTTTTTGTTAGTTAATTAATATTATTTCTCTTTGTTCCAGTTGTCATTAAAGAAATTCCTGTATATAAAAATGCCTTACTATTGAGGATTACATTTTAAAGCTGAGTTTAATTGTTAAAAATTCAAGAAATTCAAAATTAAGAATTCCTCCCTCCCTGTACTGGGCTTCTTCTGTGTTTTATTTCTTTTTTATTTGAATTACTGTAGCATGTGGAGCCCACAGTTGGAGATCAGGGCCCCCTTGTCAAAGGCACCATATACACACACATAATAAAAAGTTAATCCTTGCCCCAAAGAGTTTACAGCCTTTCTATATTGCAACACAACAGCTGATGTATAAAATAAACTGGATGGAAAGGCAACATAAACAGTGAAACCTGCCTGGCTATTAGTGTAGTGCATATGTGTTTCAGCATGACTGTTTCAGCTAGTCTTAATTTAAAGTATAATATCTTTGTATGAGTTACAATATAGTATTTAATTGCATGATTGTACAAGTCTAAGTAATGTAACATATTATTCAGCATACAGTACAATATAAAATAATTAGAATTAAATGCACTCTTTTTATTGTAATTTCATATGCACACAAATAGCATGCCAAAAATTTACCATGACAAATTGAAGGTATATATTTAGGGGCTGCCTTTGAAAAGATAGACCATAAGTTGTAAATACTTATTTTAAAATAGTTGCTAGAGCTGTTAGACTTTGGGCTGAAGGGTAACCAATTTTTAAAAAGGAGACATATCATACACATTTTTAACATTGTTAAATGTATTTATATCATAAATTGCAAGTCTTAACAAAAATATTTTATTTGTGCAAATAATAGACATTTCAAAAAGTAAAGTTCATGTTTTCAAATATTTCAGTTATCATGTTATGTTTAATTTCATAAATTTTCATATACTTACCGTAAAGTAGTTTAGATTTATGTTTAAAGAAATAGTCAGCCTATTATGGAAAATGAAATTTGACAGGAACTCTCTTTTTATAACTTGCCATAGATAGAAAGAGCACTAAGAGGAACCATTATAAGGAAACCATTGTCTTGTCAAGTAAATAGTATTTTCTGATTTAAAAATGAAACATTTATACAGTTCACAGAAATTTTGGATACGGGATTAATTTAATTTTAAATTGAAGCCCTCACTATGATCTCACTTATGTTGTTGGTTTAGCTTTGGACTATTAATATTATGTGAATATAGTTTTTTGTGGCTTAAGTTATTAACTTGGTTCCGTAGAAACTGCATACAAGTACTTCACATTCAAGTCAATCCCCATAAAAAATCAGCCCCCAAATGTTCTTTATTGTCTGGACATGCACTGGTAGCTTTTCACCAAAGAGGCCTTCTTCCTGTAAAAGTCTGGAAATAACCACAAGCACAGAATAAACCACAAAAACCAGTACCATATGTGAATCTATAAGCTTTTGACGTGAGAACCTCTGTTAGTGCCATTTTCCCAGGGCATTCTCAGTTCACTCACCCTGCAGGTAAGAAAAGCATCAGTCTACACAGGAAATCCTGCTTTGCAAACGATCTCTGCTGAATATATTTTATGTGGGACATAAGAGCTAATGTACCAAAATAGCTAATCTTGTGGTCTGCAAACCTCTGAATATGTTTATATCCCGAGACTTCTGGTTGAATTGTGATCTCCTAGTGGCTGTAGAATGACTTTGACAGCAATGCCTATTATGTTTAAAAAGCTCTGAATTCTTAAGTGCTACTTAACTCTGAAAAAGGACTGACTAGTTTTACAACTCACTGCCAACTTTTTAAAGATACTTTACATGTCTTCTGTTGAAGATATCAAAGGGCCAGATCATTAATGTCAACAGACTTGGGCCAATTTAGAACAGCTGAAGATCTAGTGTAGTGCTTCACAAAAAATAGTGAATCAAGCCTCACAACAGTCCTGTATTATTAGTACTATATGAATGTTATTTTTCTCATTTAACCAATCAGAAAACTGAGGCACACAGAGGTTATAAGACTTCCCCAAAGCCATAGGTCAGAACTAGGAAGGGGCTTCAGATCATATGGTTCTTATTCTTATATGTAAAACAAATGTGGTGTCAATGTCATTAGTCATCTATCCAGCTGTAAATTCTCTTTAGTAATTGGTCTCTTGTTTCTGAGGATTACTCCTAGTTCTTCTCTTTCTTCTTTTATGTAGCAGTGGCTCCAAGTGGAGCTACATAGATTAGATCCTCCTCTTTTTTTCAGCTGCTTCAAT